CAGAAACCTAGGGTTCCATAGAAACATAGTTGAAAAACACTGATCTAGTTAATCCAGAGATGAGGCAAATACATCTCTTCCATACTTAAGAGACAAGGCTGCCTCTCCAAAAGATTTTGATTGCAGGATCTTATTTAGCAATGTAAGGTGAGCTTTATGAAGGATCCAGTGGTGGATGAGGATGCAAAAACCCTTGCTCATTCATTCGTGGGAAAGTTCCTGGGTTTAGTCTGATCCTATCTTTACGGAGGTAAATTCAAATGCATATAGAGAACGTAAATCATCAGTGTTACTCTTTTGTAAATATAGTAAAAAACATATTCATAAATAACTGAATACTAAGAAATAATAAAACATTTATTTTGGTATAACTGTTACTCTTTGGATTTTTCTTTTAGGGATTGTTTGTGGAAATTTTTTTTCCCACCAGATTATCAAGTAATGAAAGTTACAGAAGTTTCAGTTCCGGGGAAGCCAAGACAGATCCTTGCTTTTGAGCTACGTATGAATATTATTGCAGATGCTACTATTGATTTGCTCTTTACAAAAAATAGGGTAAATAAATATAACTAGAAGCTTGAGCAATTAACACTAGTTCTTTTAAGGCATGCATTATTTGTCTGTTAAGGTTTTTATAAATTGTTCTAATTCATTTTTGGAAATGTTGAAAATAGTATAATACAAAAAGCCTTAAATTAAAGGTGTAGTTAAGCATTCCGTCATATTTGAGTATTATATTTTTACACGTTCTCCAACAAGTATGTATTTTTAAGTTTGTGTGCCTGTATTCATGTGCATATTTTCTTGATCAATTTTTCTCTACCCAGGATATTTATGTATTCATTTATTTATCAAATTTATATGGTAAATTTATATGAAAGTAACACACACACACGCGCACACACACACAAACATCTAGTCTCTATTTTCCTATATATTTCATCCATATTCTAAGAAAACAAGATTTTTCTTGAAATGGAGGAAATCTGTCACACTATAGGAAGAACTCATGAGTCAGTACACTGAAGAATTTTGCTTGTTAAGGAGAACGGTAAAGCCTTCAAACTGAGTTTGATTCTTGGTGACTTCATGGATATATGCATTTAATTTTGTTGGAAGAGTATGGAATGGTTTACTGTTGCTTTTTTCCAGGATGGTTTTTGCCTAGTCGTTCTAGCCTTCAAGTCTGATATGTACCCAATAGACACAATATTTTTTCTCCTTTTTTTCCTGTTTCTAATTTTTATCTTATTTTTAATCATTTGTGCTATGTGGCTTTCCTTAATTTTAGCAATTTAAATATGATGGTGATACAGTAGCTTGAACCAAGATATCGTGTTAATAAAAGTAATTGAAGCAATTCTGAATTTTGTTGACAGGAAACTAATGCAGTACATGTAAACGTTGGAGCAGGTTCTTACTTGGAAATCAACATTCCCATGACTGTCACTGAAAATGGCAAGTTGAAACAAAAATAATTTTATATTCTTTAAGGTAAACTATATTGAGGTAGTGGTCCTTAAAAATTGATTAGCATTTCTAAATATTCAGTGTTTTTTAATATATCTCTGCACATATTAATGTAAGAAGCTTGCTGTATATTATTTTCTTTTTTATGGAATTTGATTAAATATTAGGCAACCAATACCATATAGTTAGGCTTATTGGATACATGTTTTCTAGTGCATAAAGTAAGCTAACACAGTGAATATTCAGAATGTAATTCTAAAAATTTTAAAGGCTCAAGGTACAACTAGATTTGTGGAGTCCTTGATTGTTTTCTTGCAAACATGTCATTACCCGGCTAGGTAACATCTTCATTACCTAGAGTGGAGTGGGGTTTGCTCTCTGTTTATATATTGTGGCATACCCTGCCAGTGTTGGTGGGGGGGTGGATTTTGTTTTATTCTATTTTTTCCTCTGGTAGTTCCTTGATTAAGGTATTGTTTACTGCTTGTACACTATGTCTGGTGGTAATCTTGGTGTTAATCTCTGCTTATCTGGGTGATGATTGCTGGTGAGG